TCATCATGAGGTAATTGTATCAATACTGACTCTCCAGCATCAGCTGTTGGTGGGTAATCAGGTTCCGCCTGTACAGTAACATTAGCATACGCCACACCTACTGCTCCATCACCATCAGTCACTCTCAACCTATTAAATATTAATTAATTTAATTAAGTTATTTGCTTACTTAAAAACGTATTTTCCAACATTGAGGTGTTCCAGTGTTAGTAATGATTGGGTCCAACAATCCCGGTTCCCTGAGACCCGCCACTAATTAAGTCCCACTGGTAGAGTTCTGCCTTGGGTCCATCGTCACTTGTTTCTATGGCAATACCATGACAACAGGCCACACCCATTAGTACTTACTTGAGGCATCTAGTATTAGTTTATCGAAGGGTTTTATAGTGATGTTAGTACTGGGGGATATGAGGAGCTTTGTTGACATGGGGCTCTAATTAGAATAAATCACTATTATTAGTTTGTTATTGCCGTTGTTAGTTATATCATAGTTATATCTTACCTGGTCCTGGTCTAACTATAATGTTAACAAAATCTCTTCCGTAGTTTCCCTTGTAAAAAATCCCAGCAAGATCTTATAAGATGTTTCATGATTTCACATGACAATACAAGAAAACGCAAGATAGAAATCTTGTAAAATCTTGTCACAGAAATTCTTACAAATTCTTGCTTTAAGATTTCATAAGATTTTAAGAAGCTGTCAGATCTCCCAAGATCTAACATGACTATAATTTTTGTAAGAATTTCAAAGATCTTATGAGTAAAGGAATATGTTAGAAAATGTAAGATCATGCCTAATTAAAATCTTGAAATATCCCACATTGTGAACTTTGTAAGAACTAACATGATCTTGTTAGCTTAAAATCTCATAAGATCTTACAAAATCTCATAAGTTTATGATCTTGGTAAATGTCCCATGATCTTATGATACTGTAAGATCACACATCACAGTATTTTGAGTCTTACAAGATCTTGAAAGATCTTACAAATCATGTGACGTCACAGGAAGTAATTGACAACCCACGATAGCCTTAACAGTAATGGCAGCATATAAAGAAACTGAAGTTTTAATCACTTTCAATCAAAAAAATCAATGACG